CTTCAAGGAAGTCAATGAGCTGAAGTCCTGGAAAAGTTAATTTAGATGAGTTCAACATTTTATGTGCATTTTCCTCTTAGGGTGTTTGTTAATTGTCAGCTCAGTTAAAAGACCAAGTACAGAATGGACTTTAACAGGCATAGAGCAAATACAGCTTTTCAGAAATCTCATAGGGTTGAGTATAGAAAAATTGGAGTTTGGAGGTTGCTATGGCAACCAAGACTTGAGGAACCAAGAAGTAAGAGGAATGAGGAAGAGTATAAAAATGAGCCTGGTGCTCTGAATTGGCTTTTCCCTTGAGGCAGCTGCTGATTCTTGATTGGTATAGAAAGAGAGAATTAAGGAGCTTAGAAAATTGACTTAAAAGCTACACTGGGCAATCTACAGTCTCCCACTTATGTCAAAATCAGTATATAGGGAGATATATCCCCAAATGCTCAGTAAAGAGCCTTGGAGGGTTACATATTGTGATTAAGGGCAACCAAATATCTGAAAGCAGACACTGAAAACTCCATTTCCAGTTGGTTTGAGACCGACTATCCCTACTATAACCTTCAGCCAGTGGATAGAATGAGAATTCTGTGGGTTGGATGACATACTTCGTGCTCCTAAAATTTTCCACAATATTCAATTTTTAATTAATTACTAATATAAATAGTAAGGAATTTGTCTGTTATATAGAAACTTTCCTCTAAAGTGATTCAGATATTGGAATTTTCAGATTGGGCCTTAAAGATAAGTATAATTAAAATGGTCAAAAAAATGATGTCAAGATGGAATCTTTCATTAGACAAGATGAATTTACCAAAAGAAAGTATGAAGCAGACACTCTATAATTGAAGATAATAACTGAAATTAAGAGCTTAATAGACTAGTCTAAAGCAGATTAGGCACATCTAAGACGACAGTGTAAAGATACAAGAGCAAAAATGATAGAACAGCAATAAGAAATCCTACAAGGTGCTCAGAGAGATTCGACATGCTTCTCTTGGTAACTTATAAGAAGACAATTGAATAGAAATGGATGAATTTTAAAAAAATAAAAATAAATTCAACCCAATTGACATACATCTAACAACCCACAATGACAAAGTTAATTTTTTTTAGAGAAAAAGGAACAAACATGTGCTTCTTATAAAGCAAGTATAAGTGAATTTCAAAGGACAGATAAAATTCAAAGCATATCACAGTAGAACTAAATTAGAAGTCAAAAGCTGCAAAAACACTAGAAAATCTCCCAAATGTTCAGAACTTAGAAACTTCTCAATGATTCAGAATGCACAGAAGATAGCAAAATGGATATTATAACATCTTTTGAACTAGATAATAGCGAAAATCCAAAATATCAAACTGTGTAAGATAAAGTTGTATTCAGAGTGAAATTTGTATCCTTAAATTCAAATCTGAAAAGGAACATGAAAGTCAGATATTAGTAACCAAGGTATACATCTAAATAAGCCAGAAAAATAGTAATTAAAGAATCTCAAGAAAGTATAAAAGAGGGAATAATGAAGATAAGAGCATAAATACAGTGAAATATCAAGAAAAATTTGAGGAAATGACCACTAAATGAAAATATTGACTCTTTTTAAGACTAATAAAATTCACAGGCTAATTTTATTAATTATATACAAATAAAACTTTCAGCCACACATGTCAAGAAAGATATATTAGTAGCAGCAATAATAATAGACACATCCTAAAAACATGAAAATGAGGATAAAAGAGTGTCACAAGTCACTTTATGTCAACTAATTTGACAATTTAGATGTAGTGGACAAATTCCAAGACACCACTTTCTACCAAAATGGATGGAAAAGATAATGACTTAATACCTACTGAACTAATTGAAGTTATGAATAAAATCTTTCTACAAAGGAAACTCAAGAGTTACATGACTTCTTTGGTAAGTTCTTAAAATTATTAAAGAATTTTCAGAGAATTGAAAAGAAACGCTTCCCAATTCATTGTATGAGGTCAACAGAAACTTGATACCAAAACTGAAAAGAAAAAAACATGAAAATAGACACAAAATACCTAGGTAAAATATTACCAAATAAAACTCAACAACCTTTAAGAAGCATAATTCATCACAACTATTTGGAATTTCTTATGAGAACACAATCATGCATTAGCATTCAAAAGGAAGTAATATAATTCATGAAATATACAGAAAAAGTAATAATCTTGTGATTATTCAAACAGCTATTAAACACCCTTTGAAGATCATTAGAAATACTCTTAGCAAATTAAAGTAGAAGGTATATATATCTTAAACCTACTATTTGAAATTATTTATAATTCCACATTTAAAGGTGAATTATTAAAAGTTTTACTTATGAGATTGGGAAATAAAACTATTCATTACCTGCTCCATTCAACATTGTACTAAAATCCAAGCCAATGAAATAAGAAAAATAAATAAATGCCAGAATTGGTTGGGCACAATGGTTTATGCCTGTAATCCCAGCTTTTTGGGAGGCTGAGGCTGGAGGATTTCAAGTTCTAGGTCAGCCTGGGTAATTTAGTGAGACCCTGTCTCAAAATAAATTTTTAAAAAATGGCTGGAGGTGTATCTCAGTGGTAGAGCACCTGCGTAGCATGGCTATTTTATGCCTTCTAATATTCTTGGTAAATGTTGTAATTTCTATTGGAATACCTTGCTAAGAAGGAAATTAATAAGCTTCATCTTTCCATATTGAGATAGCCATTTTTTTTATTCCCCTACTGTGCTTGTTCATATTTTCAATTTATAGTGCCAGTCACACTTCATCATAATTGCTAATGTTTGCCCATACCAAAATAGCTTATTCAATTTGTAGCCAATACCACAATACTACCTGATGCATGGTTTGCACTAGGTGTTTATTATAGCAACTGAACAACAGTTATTTGAAATCTATGGGAAAGAATAGAAACCAGTGATTAAAACTAATAAAAAACACAAATGCAGCAAACTAAGTATTAGTTTCATATCAGCATAAAATGACTGAAAGCTAAACATGCGTCATTTTACTTTATTAGCTAGAGGCATATGTAGTACTACATACCTAAGCACAATGGTGGTGTAGTCCATACTCCCTCTACACAATAGGCCTCCCTAGGTCCTTGCAGGAAATGGTGATCAAAACATCTGTATTCTATTGAAGAACCATTCTCATAGATGCCTCCTGCTGAACTAATAAGCACTCCATTTTTAATAAGTGGAGGAGATGAACACATTCCTTTAGATTCTGCAAAAATATACATACATAGATAGATAGATAGATAATATCTGAAATATTTTTTAAGTATTGAAGATATCTGGCAACATTGTCATACTTCAAAATTGACTATTATAATTAGAATTTCATGTTATAAACTTTGAATACATATTTACAACTATGACAGTATTTTATTTTTCCCTTTCAATCTAGCTGAAATGAAGGCATACAAGATCTCTCTTAAAGTCTTGCCTTCCATATGTTTCATCTTCCTTTTTTTCTTTTTAAAAGTAATTGTCCCTATTACAGGGAGTACACAAAATTTCTCACACTCTGCACCTAGTAGTTTTCTGAGCAAAACCCCTAGTAAAGATATTTTTAGTGTTGTTGAGCGCTGACATAAAAATCCACTGATAGTATGGTAATGTTTATTAAATCTTTTATTTTTTTCCCTTCATAAAAATGACATATTGGAATGAAATTGTTAGTATAGGCTTTTTTTAAGTATATGCACTGATTGAAAACTAGAAGTTGGAACACTCTGAACTTAGACATTAGAAGATGTGGTGTCCAATTGCTTATGCTCATAACTTTAAGCTTTCAACCAAGGTAGTTGATATCCATTAGTTAGGTAAGAATTTGTGTAAAAGTACTATTATTTTTACCTTTTCTAACACATAAAGGATATTTCACTTCTCCCCGATTGCACTGCACAGACAACCCAGACAGGGTTGATGGAGGCAAATCATATCCTTGTTTGCATACAAAATCTATTAAATCTCCATGCAAGATTTTTCCTTCATAGGCCCACTTCATTTCTATGTTATTTCTGTTCATGTTATCCGCATTCACGGTGCATGGCTCTGAAAAACAAAGCGCTATTTTAAATTCTTTACTCATCTATCCACTATGAAAGTCATGACAGGCATCAAAAGCAAGAGTTTACATTTTATATTTATCATTATTAAAGCTCCTCACACAAAGATAACAAAACATACACTTTTATTACTATCAAATGACTTTATAGATTTACATACCATAAATCAAAACCACTCAATTTGAAACATTAAAAATATTGCTTAAGGTCATTAAACAGTTAGGTTAATCATTATTTCTTTTTTTATAAAATAATAATCTTAAAAAAGAAAATGTACTTAATGTGTAAACATTTATACAAAACCTGCCACTTGTTACATATCAATGAACAAAACAAAGAACCCTGACCTCGTGGAGCTTACCTGCTAAACAAAACTCCCACAATAATTAATAGACATACTAAGTATATGAATTTCATAATTTGTAACTATCCTTAAACTACAGCATATGAAATTAGGTGGAAAAAGGGTGAAGGGGGAAGGAGCTATCAAAAGTGCTGGGGGGAAGGAGGTTACATTCCAAGTCAGATGGCTGGGTGGGCCTAAGTAAGTATCTGCAGAAAAACTTGAAGGTTGACAAGTGTCATTATCTGATGAAATAGTGTATCTGACAGAGGAACAACCCTGAGGGCATGCCTAGCCTGAGGAAGAGGAAGGAATCCAGAATCGCTAGAGTGGAGGAGAGCAGGAAGACAAGTAGGGAGAGGTTATAGAGATTCCCATCTGAAATAATAATTCAGACAGAAAAGTCTGTTCCTCTTCACACTGTTGCGTGAATTTGTAGAGATAACATGCTCAATCCCAGTGGAAAATCAAGACATGCAAGCTCTCATCTTGCCCTGACAGTGACTGATCATCACTATTTGCCTCAGTTTATTAACATCATGCCTAAATGTCTTGAGGCATTTGATCCAGATATTGAATGACTGATTTCTTTAAGCCTTATTATTCCTTATGAGGTTGTTTCCTTATTATCTTTTCCATTTCTATTTCAATCTAGTCTCTGTCCTCAAAGATGATTGTACTCCTATTCAATGCAATATCAATCGCAAAATGAGAAACTTAATATCCAGTATCTCAACATAAAATTATGAGAGTAATAGAAAAATTATAGGTGAAGATACATTTGAATTTGAATGGGATAGCATCCTAAGACTTACTTGAAAGACAGGAACTATGAACAAAAGGCTTAAAACAGCTTAAGACTTAAGCATCTATATTTTAAAACACTAAAAATAAAAGTAAAATAAAATGGTTGCAGTATACATGATTCTCAAATACTCCATTTAATTTATGTAGATATACCTTATGAGTCTGAAAAATGGTTATGGTATGAACAATCGCTAGTAGAAAAAAACAAATCTGTGGCCACTTAGAAAATGGAAAAAAAATGCCAAATTGGCTGATACTTAAGTAAATCAAATAATTTTGCTTATTAAATTAAAAATAAATTTGAAGATTAAAATACTCAAAGTTGACAAAGATTAAAAACTTCCTACTTTAATACACTAATGGTAGGGTTTTAAATCAGAATAAACTTTCTTGTTTTCTTTTTTGGGCAATTAAGAAAAAATTAACTTCCAGATCTTTTTATCTAGAAATTCTACTTTGGAAACTCTGAAAAATAAGAGAAAACTAAAACAAGGTCAAAATATATTTAATTAACTTTTTAAATGAAAAATAATGTTTTTAAAAATGTATAAACATTCATTTACAAAAAATGTACTGTTTGGAATGTAAATATATTTAATGCTAAACATCCAGCAATAAAGTTATCAATTAAATTAATTTTTATGTATCTGCACTGTGGGATACTATTTAGCCATTCAAATGTATATGTAGAAGTTAAGATCAACTATGTTTACAAAATTTTTAAGTGAAAAAACAACAAGATACGTAATGTCTGCACAATATGGCAGCATCTTTATGTTATGTATGTGTGTTTAAATGGGAATAGAAAAAAGCTTAGAAGATTTTTCATTATCTAAATCACTAATATCAGTTGTTTCAAACAAGTTACTGATATTTTCTGTTTTCTTCTATTTGGTTTAATTTGCTTATAAATGTTTTTGGCAAATAACAATGACTTGCTTTTACAGTTTAAAATTCTAATACTTATTTAAATGAATATTTTAACTTACAAGAAGTTTAGCGTGCATTACACATTTGAAAAAGTAATGTTGTAATATGTTAATGCAACTACAGTGTTAGAGATTTTATACTTGTTTAGAGAGTTTCTAAAATGAAGGGGATAACATGTCAGAAAAAAAGAAATTATACTATTTCTATGCTATACAATATTTAAAGAAAATCAAAAATAGAAAACATAATAGTAAAATAAATTTGGCATTTTCTTTTTCTTACCCAGGCAAACAGGTGGGGATGACCATCTTCCTTGTTCACAATGAGATATTTTTGATCCCCTCAATAAGTAATATTCATTGCATCTATACTCCACTGAGGATTCTGTTGTGTAGCTTGGCAATAACACACCAACCACAGCCCCATTTGTTATATTAGGTGGAGGCCTACAATTCTCATTATTTTCTAAGAGAAAAAGTTATTTCAATTAATATAAACTCATAACAATATAATAATATAATATTGTTACCCAAACTATGGTATCTCAATAGTCCTGTATACTTAGGACAACTGATTTCCAAATTCATCACAAATGAAAGAAATGTTGTTCAGCTGAGGTATTTTTAAAATTTATTAAGTAAAAACAAACAGCAAGAAAAGTATGCATACTTTTCTCTTAATTGTGAAGGAATTGTGGTAAAGATATTCCTGAGATGTATAGAGAGGTAAATGATGTTCTTCACCTAAAGATTATAGTTAATTCTAAACCACCTTTTGGCATCAATGCACCTCTATCTTCTTGCTTCTTGTTGTGTTCACCTCAGTTCTCAATTAACCCAGGGATGAAATATCTATTTTTCTCTCTTTAGAATCGTTCTCTTACTCTGCAAATTTATTTAGCATCATTTACAGCTGTTGTAAATATACTAGGTAAACACATTTGGAGTTTTCCTCAATATCTGGTCAAGAATGAGAAGGATGACAAGAAGGGTAGCAACTAGGAATGATTCTGTAGGCTGGGAGTACTCTTCAGCAACACCAAAGATTAGCAACCTGTCTTAGAAAGGTATAAGGTTCAGAATGGCCAGATGCAAAAGTAATATCAGTAGGACTTACCTAAAGACAGAAACAGAATGCTAGACCCTAACTTCATAGGACATGTGGGGAAAGGAACTAGATCACGCTCACGGTCATTCTCCAACATGCCTTTACTTCTCCAGTGAAGCACATCCTCACCTGTTTGTAGGTATTTAAGCTCATAGGTCATGGTGCTCACAGAAGTCAGATAACCGTGCCCAGCACTAATGTATTTAAACCTTTTTTTTTTTTGGTTAGTTTCTGAGTTATTTACATTGACTTGAATTCTAAAGATGACTCCTTACACACACACACACACACACACACACACACACACACACACACACACAAAAGTAGCAAAAGAGGTATAGTAGCAATGTACTTCTAACCCTTGTAAGCAGTGGTTTTGAGCTTATGAGTATGTAGAATAAATAGAATGGAAAATCTTGCACTATAGTCCCAGCTACTGTTAAACGTGGCAGACATACCAACACACTCAGGGGGAATTGTCCATTTTCCACGATTACAAGCTATCTCATTTGATCCACGGATATGGTAGCCTCTGTCACATCTGTATGTCACTTTATCCCCACTGTAATAAATCTTAGAATGTAGGTTTGCTGCACCATTCTCCACGAAGGGTGGTTCCTCACAGACCCTCTTCTCCTTTTCTTCTGAAACATACCATTTGAAGAGAAGGGATCATTTAGCTACACATGCATAGTTCATTTAGAGTGAGTTTACTCAATGTTACTAACCAATGCATTTTGGAGGTTCTGTCCACTTTCCATTTTCACAGCGTATTTCTTCTGACCCCTGAATCAGAAAATTAAGTTCACATTGTATACGAACTATTTCTCCATGACGATAAGCTGTTGCATACTTTTCAGTTTTGGAGTTTAGGGGCAGAGGTGGAGGAGGACATCGATGTCTTCTTCCTTATGGAAAGATATCAGCATATTTATTCATATAATTAACAGAAACAATGAAGATTCAATAAGAGCTTTTATGGTATCAGGCACCATAAAAACTATGACAGATAGGTTCTAGGAGCAGCCCTAGGACCTCACCTCTTGACATTTATTTCCTTACGTAATATTCCGAGCCACCAGTGAGACCTGTGACTTGCTCTGGACAATCAAATACAGCAAACATGATGGATTAGTATATGATTATGAATACGTGATTATGCAACATAAATTTATGACACTATTCTTCATGGAAGATTCTCCCTGCTGGTTTTGAAGACACAGCTGCCTTGTTGTGAGCTTCCAAATGGACAAGGCTACAAGGCAAGGAGAGGAAGGTTGCCTCCAGCTAATAGCCAGCAAGAGACTGAAACTCTCAAGTTCAGCAGCCTGCAAAGCTCTGAATGCTTCCAACATGCTCAATAAATTTGGAAGATCATTGCCTAGGCAAGCCTTGGGAGAGCCTCCAGGCCCAGCCAACACCTTCACTGTGGCTTTGTTAGATACTGATGCAGAGGAGTGAGTTTACCCAAACCCAGACTCTGAGCTATAGAACATGGGACTAATGCGTGGATTCAGTCTGAAGCGGCTGAATTCATGGTTTACATTGTTATGTACCAGTAAAGTAATAAAACACCAAGCCTTTTAAATTCATTATCTCCTTAGGTCCTAAATAATTTTCTTAAGTAGGGACTATTATTTCTCTCATATTACAGATAAAGACACTGAAGCTTATGAAGTGGGTGACACATTTGTTCTTGAGCCCGTGTCTATCTGTATTAAATCTGTTCCTAACTATGGAATACTTTATTAATGGTTTACTATTGGCACAGTAACAAATTGCCATAATTTAGTGGTTTAAAACAGCAGAAATTTATTCTCTAACACTTCTGGAAGCCAGAAATCCAAAGTCAGTTTCACTAAGCTAAAATTGAGGTTTCAGGAGGACTGTGTTCCTCTGGTAGGTTTTCAAGGCAGATCCAATACTTTGGCTTTTCTGCCCTCTGGAGGCTGCCTATATTCCTGGGTTCAGGTTCACTCCAGCCTGTTTATGCATTTCAAATCGCCTACTTCCTCCTCTGCAGTCAAATCTTCTTTCAGTTTCTTAAAAAGGACACTTGTGATCACATCTAGGGTCCAAATGAATAATAGCAGATAACCTCAAGATCCTTAATCACATCTGCAAAGTTCCTTTTGCCATATAAGGTAACATTACTGGTTTCAGGGATTAGGATGTGGGTATCTTTGGGGGGAGTGGGGAAGCATTATTAAGCCCACTATACTACATCTCCTGAGTATTTATTATCAAATAGCAGGCATGTTGGCATACCAGTTTGGAAGGGGGAAGGGTGAGGAATAGACACTAAATATTTGTGCCACTTATGTTTGAAATAACATGCTGCAGACAGTTTGCTAACAATCTTCCTCTCCACTGTTGTCCCAATGCTATTTTGTCCTACTGGAAAATGACAAAACCGCCAAAGTTTTCACTGAGTGCAATTAGGAAACTCTGATAGTTCCAGGCAATCCCATTGCATAGCCCTGGTCAGAAACCTAGTTCATTCTCCCAGCTCCTGTTTCAAATTTTACTGCTCTCTTCCAAATTCTATCTTCATGTCTTTCACCTGCCTGTGGATGATGAATTATTTCCTATACTATAGAGAAAATGGTTGCTACCAAAACCGGTGCCTCCTCCCAGTCCTCAATTTCTTATTTATCTCTTAAGACCCAGTCCAAATATTATCCATCACTTCTGTGAAATATTACCCATTGCCTCAACAAATACTATCTCCCACCATACCTATATAATAATCTAATGATTATTTAAATATTTTGTACCTGATTTTATAGCAACATTTGCAACATCAGAGCAATTATTTTTTCATATTTCCTTTGCTGGATTAAGACCTTCTTCAAATGACATTGTAGTTATGGTTAAGTAATTATTAAGTTGGTGTCTTCTGACAGATAAGCATACCACCTGCCTGAACAAATTCAGTGATGGAAATGTAACCTTAGACATTACACTTTTGGAGTAGCTCTAACTAGATGACCTCATTTTCCATTTTCACTTTGAGGTCATAGTCTTCTAAGTTTTCTGCTCTCTATGTCACTACTTTGCAGATTGAATTTTTACATCAGTAAATACGTAACCAATGGAGAAAAAGCCCTCACAAAGATGCTCCCTTGGGGCAACTATCTGTAATAATTTCCAATTTTTTAAAGTTATTAATTATAAGAAGAGATTTAGCATTGATAATACAGATTTTTGAGTATTATATTTAAAAGATACTCCCTCTCTACAAACTAATTTAAAGCTTTAAGTTTCTTTAAATGGAATAAAGATTGCTGAAAAGAACATTGGTTTAAATGACATTATTTATTTTAAAAATAGCCCTAGAGACTAGATATAGATATCACCACAGATATTTTTTCAGAGCTCATAGAGATTAAAACTTATTAAAATATGAGGTTAAGATATGCTACTTCCCCACGCATAAAACTTAGAAATTTACCTTCACATACAGGAGATTCTGGGTACCAACCAAAGTTATAGCACTGAATTAGGTCGGGTCCACTTAGATAATAATTTTCATGACAGAAAAACTGAACCACATCTCCTTCTTCATAGGTTTGCTTTATAGGATGAAAATAGCCATTCTCAATTAATCTTAAAGAAGAGCACTGCAATTCTAAAATTGAAAGAATGAATAAAAACACAGTGTTTATTTTTCCTACCAGAACGAAATTTATATACTATTTACAACCTATATCTGAATAGAAACTAATAAGTTTCTCTTATGCTGTTTTAGCTAGCAAAAGTTTTTGAATTTATTTCATATATATATGAAATAAATTATGATATATATCATTAGGGTTATTTAAATTCCATAAGCAAAAATGAATTTTCCCACTTGAAAACTTTAAATGATCAAATTCTATTATGAAAGTAATTAAAACTAAAAACAAAAAAATATGATTATGGGTCATAATTATCATAACAACTTATAAATACTTCAGTGTGAGAGGTACTTTTTCAGAGCAAAAGTAAGTTGTATTGAATGTGAGAACCTACTGGTGCACTTTGGTGTGAGAGACCATCCATATGTGTGGCATTCCACCTCCTCTGCATGCTTTCCTCCAGCTGTGTAGTAGCCAGCAGCACATTCATATTGCACTTTATCCTTCACTTTGAATGTTTTCTGTGTTGTGGAATAATTTCCATTATGTAATTCAGGGGCCAAACATGTTTCTAGAAAATTTAAAGTTATTTATTTTATGAACCTCACCAATAACTTAAAAGAGATTATATATATATATACCTGCCCATAGAAGGGAACACTAGTTTTGCAAGCTCTTATCCTCAGTCTTAAGATAAGATAAGATTCTTAGATACCTACCATGCTCCTTTCTACAGGTTGGCTGAGAAGACCATCCATCAGAAAGACACTGCACCACTTCTTCATCCTTCCCTCCAGTGGTTTTATATCCAGAAGCACAACCATAACGCATATTCTCTTTAATTTTATACAAGAATTTTACATCAGAGACATAGCCATTTGTTAGGTCAGGCTTAGTGCATTTTCCTGTGGGGAGGATTTCTTTGTTTAACTTAGTGATGAAATGAAGCTTGCCTTTTATTAAATTGCAAAATGAAAACAAACATTTCATATCACTCTTAATTGGAATTTGAAGGAGGAGAGAGAAATAATTTTTCTCTCCACAATTCCTTGATTTAATTTTGGAAATATAATCTTACAGGTCATGAATAAAATTTCTTTGAAAATGGATTCAGTTTGACACTAACTGTCTCTGTATTTACTAAATTTAATCCTTATATTCATTCCTAACCTTACCTACTTTTAGACTGTAAGTTCACACATGCTAAGCAGTCACTCTACCATTGAGCAACATCCCCAGCTGGATGGATCCATAAATAATTCTGCAAACATCTTAGATTAATATGAAAACTGTTCTTTCATTCTATTGAATATATAGTTTAAATAAATCTTTATTTATTTAAAATATTTATTTAATTAATTAATATTTATTTAAAATATTTTAGGATCACCTAGCAGCACAGGATTCAGCATTTAATCCATTTAAACTGTGACTAAATCATAAAACAAAGTTATTTTTGGTAAATATTTGCAACAAGAACATATAACATAATAAATTTCTATAGCGTTCTGTGGAAATCTATCATTTTTATAAGCTATATTGTTAGACCTTCATAACAAAGCAATTTAGAAGAGTTAATAAATTTGTCCAAGGTTCATGTAAGTTTAAATATTTTTAATACTTGCAGTATGTCCAACATTATGTAAAGCTTATCTCATTGAAGCAATACCAATTCCATTGTACAGATAAGAAACTAATGTTCAAACCACTTCCCCGTAGCAGAGCTGAATTCACATACCGTCAGTTTGACTGCAGAGATTTGTATCTAAACCATTAAATTACCATGCTAATTTCTTCTGGCTCATATTTCAATATTCTATTTTCCAAGATAAAAGAGTCAATAAATCTAGGGCTTATAATTTATTTCTATGCTTTAGTTATAAATAGGATTTATTTACTAGAGTTAATGTATGCTCTGTGTTAATACCAAAAGTGCAATGCCTAAAGTATGAGCTGTCCTGAAGCCACAGAATGGATAATTATCCCAAATGGATGTGATATATCAACCACAGTTACTACCATTCCCAACCTCCTCTTCTAAATGAAACAGACCCAAGCAAAGCCTTTTACTCTGGAAAACAGAGCTTAGGGAATTCTTAGCTTAGGAGAGTTCGCCTGAACCACTGGAAGCCCACCAATAAATTGACTGTAACATTTTAATTAAATAATGAGATGAACCTATCATAATACCGGCTCACAAATTTGGACTCAGAATTTTTAATCGGTATTAGAAGTTGGCACTCAAAGGAGTTAGGAATTTGCAAATGATAGGCCCTGGAATAACAACCTTGTCCTTGCTGAGAATGTTTCATAAGTATGTTTCCTGGCCTATTATGCAAAATGTTCCATATAACAGTTTCATTTATTACCCTTGTTCCCTTCACTGTATATGATTTTAAAAATATATAGAAAATAACATTTTCAAATGAAAACATTATTTATACTATTTCAGATACAGCATTTTTTAAAAAGAAAGTTTGCTAGTAATTTTGTTCTTATCTACCAAAAGGTTTTTTTTCATAGAAATAAATTAGCTTTTTCAATAAACTAGTTTCTTGGAGCACCATAGCCATCCCTCGTTGTGTTAACACAACTGCTCACTTACTGAAGCACCTTGGTTCTGGAGACCAGCCCTCTGCTGTACATCTGCTTTGCTCTTCTTGTTTCCCACTTTCAGTTGTGTAGCCAGCCAAACAGAAAAATGGCAACTTTTTGTCTATGCTCATTGGGAAGTAAAAACTCTTAAAAGTATAGTAATATTGGGCAAGCCTTCCATTTTCTACCGTGGGAAAGTCACAGCGTTTCTCTGAAATGAAGAAAAACTCAAGCTGAGACCATGGAATTCGCAATCAAGCAATAACACATTTTTAAATCCAGCACTTATTTTTATTACCTAAAATTTAAAGGTGATTTTTTTTGGACAGTCCAAGCATTTGTTTTCTTTTTCCACCATAATTAATATACTAGTAGTTCTGAACAACTCTAATAGATGCATAATGAAAATCATATGTAATTGTAAAATTCCTAAAATTCTCACATTACTAAAAGTAAAAAAGAAGCATTGAAGTTCATTTTAATAATATGCTTTATTTGGTCCAATACCTTAAAATATGTTGCATTCTTCTTACCCCCTTTAAAATCCTGTCTGTATTTACACTGACAGCACCTTTTAATTCGGACTATCCATATTTCAAATACTCAACAGTCATAGGATTGTCCCTCAAAATTAGCAAGAGATTGGTTCCAGGGCTGTCCAGCAGATATCCAAACCCATGGATGCTCAAATCCCTTTGTGTTGGTCTTGGAGTAAAGAACAGTAAAACATGATGTCCCTAAAATGTCCATTTATATTCCCAAGAATCTAACCCTCTCAAGGGAACAATGAGTGGCCCCAGCCAGATGGTCCAGATAAGTGTTACTTGAAGAACACTGACTTTCTCTCAGGCATGCTGAGAATTAGGACAAATTAGTGTTATCTTAGAAAGCTGCTTTCTTGCATGTATGTCAAGTTCCTTGGAATGCTGGTCACATCATGCAAGCAAGCAAGCTAATGATGTCATTGCTTCTGTAGCCTAACTCATTGATTCTCCTCTCCCTGCAGTAACTACCATGGAGCAGAGAGCTGTGGAGAGGATCAGTGCTCATCCAGCCAGCTGCTATTGGACAAAGCACAGTGAGGGACAGAGTCACTGCTTTCTGGCAAGGCACCATAAAGGACAGAAGAGCTATGCTTCCAGCCCCTCACCACCGGACCTTCCACATAAGCAATTTTCAATAAACCTTATGTCTTGCACTCTGTCTCCAAGTCTTTCAGCAACATGTCCCACTGCCTAGTACAATGGGACTGTGGAGTGTTATGTAAAAGGTGCACCCTTATATAAAATGCAGTAGTATTTGCATGATGCCTACAGCCCTCCTAGGCAGACTTTAAATTCTCTTTAGATATTAAAATACCTAAAGCCATGCCTAATGCATGGATTCAGCAGAACACTGGGCAACATGGCAAATTCAAGTTTCACTTTTTGGAACTTTCTGGAAATTTTTCTAATATTTTCTATCCTCAATTGCTTAAATCTGCAAATGAGGAACCCGGGAATACAGAGGACTGATTGCATGTGGCTACTATCCTCTGTATTGGACAGCATCGTTCTAAAACAGATGAACTTCTCCTTAAGATAGGCAAGCCCCTACCCCAAACTGTGAAGTAAATGGTTTTTGGTCATCTCTCAAGACAAAGACAGATTAAAATAAAGATTCAAATAAGAATTTAACAAATGGGATATTTAAATGGTCAGAGATCAAGTATTCAGCCTTTTTCATCATCAGGGAAATGTAAATTGAAACCATTATGAGATACTGCAAATCTACTAAAATGGTTGAAATGAGAAAGATTATCTCAATGGTTGTTAAAGATATGGAGAAACAGGACCTCTCATAGCGCTATAAGTGAGAGTATAAATTGGTACATGAGAAAATACATTGGTAATACTTATAGAAGCAGAGCATGTATCCTAGTATCCAATAGAAGAGCACACATCGGTGAACACAAGGACGTGTCAAAGATTTCCATAGCAGCACTGTTCATGTGGTGCCAAATCAGAAACAACCTAAATGGCCTTTAATGGTAGAAAAGGTGAGCACGTCTCAGATGAGGCATACCTGTAACGTTCTATGTACAGCAACACAAATAAATGAATGATGAATCTCACAAACATAACATTACATGAAAGAAGCCAGTCAACATACATTATATAACTCTTTAAGAAGACAAACTAAAAATCCCTGGTAAAAGAAGTCAGAAAAATTACCTTTAGAAATTAACACCTTTGAGAGGTCATTTAGGAAGTTTTTTTAGGTGTTATTGATGCTCTATATCTTGATTTGGTTAGTGAAAAGCTGCCTAAAATTCGCACAACTCTATCTTATGATATTTGCTTCTTTCTGTGTCTATTATATTCCAAATAAAATGTTTACTTGAAAAATCTCTGGTTATGTTGGAGATCTTTTAAAAAAAAAAAATGCTTAAAGGAGAGAAACCCTTGGGCAATTCCTGGGAGTGGCGCTGAGTGAAAACCAGACTCAACCAGACTCGTGGGTCAAAGAAGGCCTGGAGCCAGTGGGTAATTCTGGTTTCAATGCCTTGATTACTGCCTACCCTAAAACTGCCCTAAAATAATAAAGACATAAAATAATGATACTGCCAGCCCATGGCCGAGGGGAATGGGCATGGAAGGATGACTAATATAAAATTGCCAGCATCTTGAGAGAGCAGAGCAGCAGATAAATACATGTGCAGAATAGCCTCCACTCCCTGAGAATTCCTCACACCATTTTGCAGGAATTTCAATGAAAAGACTTCAAAAATATTAGTGAATACACAAGGATGCTCCCTGAGGGTCACTGTTGCTGGACTGAGTGGGATGGGGGCATGTGTCTTTACCACTTTGTGGCTTCAGAGACTGTCCTGAGGCATGTATCTCTATCACCAGGAGATGCACATTACTGGTCGGTAGATGACATGCCTTGGAGAATGTGAATTCATGAGAAAAAAGAAATAAGAAGAAATAGGAGGAGCTCAACTCCAATAAAATAATGTCAACAAACTGGATAATAAATATCAGATGAAGTGAACTGAACAATTAAGCGGGGAATTTCAAGTTTGCATAATGAATAACTCAAATAGAAAATGGAAAATACTGGTATTATAGACCATACATAAGAAGCTATAAAGAAGCAACAATGAAGTTAGCCAATCCCCCCAAACCAAATGCTGAATGTTTTCTTTGATATAAGGATGCTGATTCATAATGGGGTTGGTGGGGGGGGGAGCATGAGTGGATTAGACAAATTATAGATAGAGCAAAGAGGAGGGAGGGGAAGGGAAGGGACATGGGGGGTAGGAAAGACCTTCATGCAAAAATTATCCTATTATAGGATATAATTAGGGTATAGGACATCATTACCCTAAGTACATGTATGAAGACACGAATGGTGTGATTCTACTTTGTGTACAACCAGGATATGAAAAATTGTGATCTTTATGTGTAATATGAATTGTAAAGCATTCTGCTGTCATATATAACAAATTAGAATAAAAAAGTACAAATTTCAAAACATGAATTTTTTTAAAAAAGAAGCAACAATGAGATACAATGAGTATGAAAATATAAACAACCTGTTAAGTATGGAAAATAGCAGAAAATGGTTTAAGCCAAAGAATTAATTTGTACAACAAAATATAAGATTTTATCATTTCTAACTCATAACATCAAGGCCCCATATTGCACAGTTCAGGAGGTACCAATCACACTGTATGATAGTTCAAAGGTACAGAAAAAAAAAAAAGAAACTAAAGGGTAAAATGTAATGGGTTTGATTATTTAAAAATTTGAGAATTTCTTTGAAAGTCATTTTCCACAAAACACATACATACTACTTTAGAAGAAGGAACTTGCAATGTCTAAAACTGATAAGAAGTTACAACTTGTAGTTTATAAAGACTTCTTACAAATCAGCTCCAAAGAGCCATAAAGCAAAGAGAAATGCTAATCAGAAACAATTTAGGAAATCCCAGAAATCTGAACATCTAAAAAAGTATATGAAGAGATGTACAAACTTACCAAAAATCAGAGACTATCAAATGAACATAAATGAGATGGCACTTTATGTAAACAACAGTATGGCAAAGAGCACAAAAGTAGAGAACAGGAAGTGCTGCTGCTGGTGATGGGAAGCAACAGCTCATGCCCATCACCTTTTGAAGATTACATACATTGAAACAGCCATTTCACAAAGTAATTTGTCATTCTGTTTCCCTAGGATAATTGACCTAATAATCCCACCTGTGAGTGAATACAGGCTGAAGAAATCTCACAGAACTATAGATGACTATATGACAGTATCAACGTCAGAATTATTTGAGGTTAGGAATGAAGTAGCATGTTCATCATCTGAAGACTAGATAAATAAAATATATGAAATGCTACACAGTTCAAAACGGAACAAAATAGTTTTGCAAACTGGAAATATATTTGAACAGTAACTAGTAAAATGAGAAAATCAAATCTACATCAAACTTTCATTAATGTGAATGTGAAACACATGCACAAATAAGACATATGTAACAAAGGAATTTGAACATTTAAGAAATATGGAAATCATATAGGATGGAATTCATTGTCAGAGATGATCTAATCATCTCTGAGTGAAAAAAGCGTATAAATAAACAAAAGCAAGGTCTTTCATAGGTCAGTAATGATTGTACACCATGAAGTGAGAAGGACCATTATTTCACTCTTGTCCCTGAGGTCCTTAGTTGGAGAATATGAGATCATGATCCCTGCTTCATGTAGCTTACTTTTTTGTGTCAGATGAGTTTATGCTCATATAATAGAAAATTAGCTACAATTTTACAAAGTCATCACAATGTAGCTAATAGATAATGATATCATCTTGAATTTTCCTACTTAGAAAAATAAAAATCAAAGGAAACTTCATGCAAAAATTATCCTATTATAGACAGAAATGTATGAAATGAAGATGAATTTTATTTATTTCACCTTCATAATTTAATTGTAGACCTTCTGGCAGAAAATTTGTAGTGAACTATTCAATTAAGAAGCAACTTACAGGATATTTTATTTCAACAATTCCTCTAAGATGTTTATTTTAGAAAAGTTTTGTTGCTGTGGTTTCCAGTTTTTCATTCACTCTTGCTAACTGCTAATGACCTGCCTAGGTTCTTAATTAATCCTACAGTTGAAAAGCACTGATAATCCTTCCTAAGAACATGGTATTGCACTGCCTACCTTTTACTGACACTGATCTTACATACCAGGCAGTCTGTTACCAGTAACAATTTGTCTCATTTATCACTGTTGTCCAGACATAATTCTTTTTTTAAAACATTTTTAGTTATAGATGGACACATTTATTTTACTTACTTATTTTTATGCAGGGCTGAGGATCAAACCCAGTGGCTCACACATGCTAGGCAGGCCCTCTGCCACTGAGCTACAGCCCCAGCCCCAGACATAATTCTTAATAGAGCTCTCTCACTCTCCAAAGTGGAATATAAAAAAAGTTTCAGCTATGCGGATTTCATACTAACCACTACTTAATAATCCAGCCAGTGAATAAATAAATCATGGAATAAAAATCAAAGTAGCAAGAGTAGAAAATCTTGTTGATGATTTATGGTTATTTCTTTTTCAAATTTCCCTCAGTAAGCTCTCACCTTGTAGACAGAGAATTAAAATTCTGTAAGTTGTGTCAATGTTAAGAATGGATTCTTGCATAAAACTGGAATTAAGGTTAACATGTGACTTCTAAACTGCCACATTATTAAACAGAAACCCTTTAAAGTGTATTTAGATAATGTTAGATCATGCTCCCAAACCTATATATTCAAAGGGTCTTTGTTTTGTGTTTTTAACTTAAACTACTTTAACAACAGTTTGCTAGTTTATCTCAAAGGGGAAAAAAACCCATCTTTCTAAATGCTATAACAAGCTAAATTTACATAAAGCATGTGATAAAATTGATACATCAAAATGAAAGATTATACCAAAACTTAAGTTGTATGAATACTAGAATTTCCATTTATAGTTTTTTAGAGAATAAAGCAAATTAAGGATTAATTTTACCTTCTGCAGAGAGTTCTCCTAAGATCATTAATATAATAACAAAAGCCAAATCTTTCAACTTCATCTTCAGTGGTACGTTTCATAAAGATTCTAACAATTCGAAAACACTAGGGAACTCATCATTAGGTAAACAATGCTTCTCTTGAAGAAAAAGTTAATAATTTACTACATCTAATTCCGTTAGGAATGAGCCTTTTATTTTACCTAAAATATTTTCAAATAATGTTAAAATAACACAACTATATAAATTGACATTACCTTTCCTACCAGAGTCTAATAAGAACATGTTAACCAGTAAGGGCAACAATAGTAGCAGCACAAATAATTAACACAGGCTGTTTAAAACAAAAAAGGAAAAAAATTCAACTTTGATTCTCAACTGTCAGTTCATAGAGTAAAGTACACATAGCCATTGTTGTTTACTAATATTGATCAAGTGAAGAGATGAACTTAGGAACATGAGATCATAGGTACTGGATGTTAAAACAGGTTGTTGTCTATATAGTGTTCCTTAAAGACATAAATGATCTTAGTTGTCTCAATGATTAAAAAAAAGTTTATTAAAAATACTAACAGCTAACATTTAGAGAATTTGAACTCTGTGGCAAGTGGCAAATAAACTCTGTGTTTTATGATCACTCATTTGTGAAAAAGATTTTGAATGTCCACCATATTCGAGTCCACATTGTAGTCCTGAGGCAGACAGCAGTGAAAAAGCAGACTAAAAATATTACTCCCATGAAGTTTACATTCTAATAAGGTTTAATTTAAAGGAAAAATTAATACTAATAAGAACAATAATGAGGAAGGTATTAATGTTCCAATTTTAGAATATTTTATTAAAATATAACATTAAGGGATGGGGTTGTGGCTCAGTGGTAGAGCACTTGCCTAGCAAGCGTGAGGCACTGGGTTTGATCCCGGCACCACATAAAAATTTAAAAAATAAAATAATGGTATTGTGTCCACCTACAACTAAAAAAATTTTTTTAATAAAAACATAAAAGATAACATTAATAGAGAAGTACCTATATCAGTGAATTTTTATATCAGTGAATTTTTACATCACAAATTCAGAACCCAGAATAAGAAACAAAATATCTACATCCCAGAAGCCCCTACCTACACCCTTCTACCCACCCCAGTGTAAAAACTATCTTTACTTCCAACAGTGTAGATTAATTTTGCCAGGTTTTAGACTACATGAATGACATCATTTAGTAACCATTCTTTTATACCTGTTTTCTTTTATTTCACGTTTTGCTTAAGAAATTCATCCTTATTTGGGGGTATAGTAGATAGTTTTTTTTTCTATACAGTATTCCATTCTATGCCACAAACTTTCTATCCTTTCTACTGTTTGTTGAAATTTGGGTGATTTGTAGTTTAAGAAACTAATGTGGCATATGCTCATTTTCAAAGAAAAAAAAGGTATTTTTTTCTTAATTTGAAAACTTGCAAACAGAATGCTTACCTGAATTCTATCATTAACATTTTTATATATATATTCTATCATTAACATTTATATATATATATATATATAAATTTTACAAAGTCATTATATATAGTGTGCTACACCCAAGTCTGGCAATTCAATTTTTGATGTTTTTATAAATCTCCATATTTTCCCCCCATAGAACTGTACCAATTGACTTTCCCATGGAGAGTGCACAAGGTTTGTTTTCTCCAAATGCTCACCATCAATTGTTATTCTTTGTTTTATTGATAATAACCATTCTAACAGTAAGAGGTGGTATTTCATTTTTAACTTGCGTTTTCCTAATAATTTGTGATGTTGAGCACCTTTTCATTCACCTGTTGGACATTTGTTTGTTTTTCTTGAAGAAATGTCTATTCAAGGATTTTGCCCATTTAAAGATCAGGTTATTTCATTTATTATTAAATTATAGGAGTTACTTATATATTTTGGATAAAAATACCTTTTCAAGTATATGCTCTGCAACTATCTTCTCCCAGTCTCTGAGTTATCTCTGAGTGCTGATGCTTCCTCTGCTGGGCCCAAGCTTCTGAGTTTGTTGTATTCCCACTGGTTCACTTTTTATTTTTTCCTTGAGATTTGGGATGAATTCCAGGAAATCATTGCTCAGACTAATATTCAGAGATTTTTTTCCTGTTTCCTTTTAAGAATTTCCTTGTTTCATATTGCACATTTCTCTAACTCATTTTAGTTGAATTTTGTAGTTGATGCAAAAATAAGAATCTAATCCTTTTACCTCTGGATAGCCAATTTCTCCAAGACCCATTGTGGTAGATTGCCATTTCCTCACTGTGTATTCTTGGTACCTTTCTGAAGGTCTGTTGATTATATTCATGTGGGTTTATCTGGAGGTTCTGTATTCAGTCCTATTTGACTGTATGTTTGTTTTTTACAACAAAACCACACTGCCATAATTCTGTAGCTTTGTAAATATGTTACATCAGCTTTGCTCTTTGTTATGGTTTAGTTATTAGGTGACTCCAAAAATCTCATGAGTGAGACAATGCAAGAAAGTTTACAGGAGATATTATTGGGTTATGAGAGTCTTAATCCCTTGATGGGGTTAACCAAGGAGTAACTGCAGGCAGGTAGGTTGTAGCTGGAGGAGGCGGAGGTCCCTGAGGCTGTTTGAAATCTTTCATGGATCCAAATGAATTTTAGGATTATTAACATTGTTCTTTTAACAATGACCAGAGAAGGAAATTAAGAAATAAATTCCATTTAAAATTGCATAAAATACTTAGTAATAAAATTATCCAAAGAAATTAAAGACATAAATTCTGAAAACTATGAAACACATACAAAAGAAAATTTAAGAAGTAAATGGACAAATATCTCATTTTTATGAATTGAAACAATTCATATTGTTATAATGTCCACATTCCCCCAAATGATATATAGATTCAATGTAGTACTTATCAATAATTCTAATGGCATTTTTTTTTACAAAATGAATAAATCCCCAGAAGTGAAATGTGGATTAGAAACAGATAAATATTGCTATTTTTAATGAAAACATGCCTATTAATTATTTTTTATTTCACTATGAATTGCCTATACAGGTTCTTTGCATATTTTTCTGTTGAGCTGTCTTATAGATATCTATGAGCCCATAATATGGAAAGTGGAATTGCTTTGTGATTTTTGAATTTTATATTCTTATTATGGTTTGGATATGAGGTCCTCCAAAGGCTCCTGTATTTACACAGGAATGTAAAGAACTGAAATGATTATAGATTATGAAAGCTGTAACATAACCAGTCCATACTGGTTTGAATGGACTGAATGAGTGGTAACTCTAGGCAGGTGGGGCAGGGCTGAAAGAGGTGGGTCACTGGTGGTATGCTATGGAAGGGTCTTCCTGGACTCTTCCTGGACCCTTCTCTGCTTCCTGGCTGCAAGGAATGAAGCAGAACTTCACCATGCCCTTCAGCCACAATGTTCTGCCTCACCTTATACCCAGAGCAATGGAACTGCTTGTCTATGGACTGAGTCCTCTGAAACCAAGAGCTCCATATTAACTTTTCTTCCTCTAAGTTGCTCTTGTTAGATGTTTTGGTCACAGAGATTAAAAGCTAATTAACACAGAAATTGATACTGAGAAGTGGGGTCATTGCTGTGACTAACCTGACCATGTGGTTCAGAAGCCTTTGGAAGTGGTTTGTAAGAGTTGAGAGATGCAGGCTGGAGAGGGCTTAGAATGTTGTAAGCAGTGATTAATGGGCAATTTTAGTGGGAGCTCGGGAGATGCAGAGAGGAATGCAAACAGTAAAGCCTGTGCTCTCAAAGTTTCAGAGGGGAATGGGGACTCAATTGGAAATTGGACAGCATGTTTGTGTTATATTCTGAGAAATAATTTGGCTACATTTTACTCATGTCCTGAGACTTTGTGTGAGGCTGAATTTAAAAGTGAAAGACCAATTAATCTGGTGGAGGAAATTTCAAGGCAGGACATCATTCAGTCCATGGCATGGATATTTCTGGCAGTTTAGGGCCAGGTTTATTCTAAAAATTAAGAGCAAAACTAGATCAAAAACATTGTAAAAATTTGCAATTTGGCCAGAAAAATGCTTTCAAAACTGGGGTCAAGAAAGATGTGGTTGTGCTGGGAGCATGGTGGCACATGCCTGTAATCCCAGTGGCTAGGGAGACTGAGGCAGGAGGATGGATTCAAAGCTAGCCTCAGCAAAAGCGAGGTGCTAAGCAACTCAGTGAGTTCCTGTCTCTAAACAAAATACAAAAAAAAGGGCTGAGGATGAGGATCACTGGTTGAGTGCCACTAAGTTTAAGCCCCTGTACCCACCTACCGCCTCCAAAAAAAGAAAGAAAGAAATGTGTGGTTGTGGGCTGGAGTTGTAGTACAGTGGTATAACTTAGAACCATATAAAAATAAATAAATAAAATAAAGGTATTGTGTCCATCTACAACTAAAAAAAATTATAAAAAAAGAAAGTTGTGGTTGTTTTATTAAAGACATTATAGCTACTAAAGAGATGCTAAGTATTTGCACAAGACCTGATGCCTTGAAGGCATGGCAGGAATTGACAAGACCACATTACATCATAGGCTCAAGGGTGTAAAAGGAAAAATTCTTTTGAGAAGAATTCCTGGGCACCCTACACACACAGTTGTTTCACTGTGCTCAGCTGCCCAATCACTCAGAACTACTGCAGCTGTAGTCCCAGGAGGCCCAGGTACTGGTCAAGATGGCAGTAGACCATGGCATTCAAGTGGTACTTATTTCTGCAGGAATGCATGATGATGGATTCAGTGAGTCATGGAGTTTTCCACTGATGTTTCAAGGAAGGCCTGGGAGGCCAGGCAGAATCCACTAAACATAAAATTTTTGTGGATAGTTATCAGAGAAGTAACTTTTTTCCCCATCAGAATTGCCAATTTATTCCAATTATTTATCAAATAATTCACTGTTTTTGCACTGTTCTGAATTTCCATCATAGTAATTTCCTAAATTCATGTACATATTTTAGGTCTATTTTTAGATTTTTCTAACTATTTCATCATTTATTTTAGTTAGGTTTTTTTAGTATCATATTTTCACTACTCTCACTATGATAGATAATGTGAATCTAGTTTTCACACTT